ATATTCCTGTGAGGGACTGTTGGTGCAGTGCACAATACAACACAGCTGAGCTTCCTTGAGGTGTTTGACCCAAAGAGTGACTTCAGCGCAGGAGGGTTAAAGAAATGTAAAATTTAGACCAAGTGAATTGCGAGTCAGGCGAATGCAGATTTCATAAATGTGAACTTAATTTCCATTGATATGCAAGGGTACGCACAGGAATTCCCCGCTTGTTTTGACTTCAAATTTTGGTGGAACAAAATAAATTGACAGGAATGAGATTGGAACCTGTGACCCTCGGAAGTTTTGCTGCCCATTGAGCCATATGCAGCCCTCTCCAGTTCTTTACAGACGAATAAATAGAACACAGTAAAAAAAATTCTCTGGTACTGGATTTCGTTTTCTGAAGCTTCCAGGGTGCGTAGAACAGAGCTTGAGTTGTGTGATATTTGAAGAATTCTTTCCAAATGAAACAGCGTATTCAGTTTGTGGTGATGCGTTAAATCTCCGGTAGCTGGAACAGTTTGTGATTTGATTCCATTATTTGTGACCCCAGGTCAGCAAAATGTTGCATTCCATTCGGATGGGATGGATGAAGCCCCGCCAGGAGAAAAAGAAAGACGAAGACGACCGGCCAAAGTTCTACGACATCTGGAGCAACGAGTCCCAGGTCGAGCTGACCAGGCGCCACCACGCGCACATCGCCGCGCCCAAGGAGAGGCTGCCCGGTCACGAGGAGTCGTACCGCCCTCCGCCGGAGTACCTGCCCACAGAGGAGGAGGTCGGAGATAATTTCGCGGCGATTTTTTTTTTCTCACTCCGATCGCTGGTTTTTGAAGCATTCTGAGCCACATTTGACAGTTTCTCAGCCAAGCCAATGTTGGCAAAACGTTCGCCTTAAAAATGTCTGTCTTTAAGTGTAAAAGGATAGAGGGCCGGTTACGATCCTGGCAGAATCTCTTGCAGTGTGACTCTGAGAAAGATTCTGCCCGGATTGAAACGTCAAGGCCTCCAACTTTCTGAGTTGTGTGTTTCAGGTCACAGTTTTGAGCAGGTCACGGCCGTTTTTATAATTTTACTTTATACAGGCATTTGCAGCAGTTTAGGACCACCCGTAGAATATGCATTAACCTGAAGGAAAACCAAACTTAAACCAATCAATCCTGGCAACTCATGTTTATTTCCAATGCGTAACCTTGGTATCTTGGTTCAGCTATTTGACTACATTTCCATGATAAGACATGTTATCAGTCTAATATTCAGTTCGCCCTCCCTCATTTCTGATTGCTTAGACTGGCTTTTTTTACCCATGCTGCCTTGCAGACAAAATGTCATACAAGACCTGCCTTTGCAACCAATTTCATTCAAATGGGTACATAGCACTACACTGATGTTATGCACCACTGTAAAACCATGTTAAGTAATCATTCAGTGAGACAATGCAATGCAGGCCCAGTGACAGAAATACCAATAATATTCAAGGTGGTCTTAAAATTTTGCAACTGACTGTACGATTACCTTCGACTAGTAATCACAGCAGCAGTAGCAATAATGATCTTAACCCTCCTTACCAGCTCTTCTCAGATCCAAACTCCTCCCCTAAAGAGATTTCTGCCATGGTGTACCTGCATTCTGTCTGTGCACACACGAACAATATTCTCGTAAACGTGGGAAAAGATAGGCAATTGTTTTGCATCGGTCAAAGATACCAGTGGTCATTAAATGTTGCCTCATGGCAAGCATGTTAGGAGGGCTCGATCGGAGGGTTAGGATAAGTATGTGCACAGTTGTCAAAAAGAGCAAAATGACCTAATTGTTCCCTTCCGATCTTTGCATCAGATCAAGGAGTGGAAAGAGGCCCACCCCGAGGATCGGAAGATGGACTTCCTACCTCAAACCTTTGACTGCTTCCGGAAGGTACCGGCCTACCGGGATTACGTACGGGAGAGATTTGAGCGATGCTTGGATCTGTACCTGTGCCCACGGCAACGGAAGATGAGGGTAGGTCACCTGTCATAGGAGGCGTCATGTGACTTGTTTTGTCTTTGCTAATGGGATAATTGGAACAGGCGTCACAGGTCGATGTAGAACGTTGGAAATATTATTTAAGTCAAGAAATTAAAACCACTCTGGCATGCGCAAATTTTTTGCTTCAAAACTCTTGGCTCAAGAAGTTGTAACATGAAGTCTGTAATTGAAATTGTCTTCATTTCCTAGGAACGTGCATCTTGAGGAATGTGTGTTGACATTATTCAGGTGGTTTTAGAATTTTGATACTCCTCGATCATATTGATATAAGTGCGGAAAGGCTCGTGACTTTTTTTTCCAATTAGTTTTGAAACTGAAGGACCATGTACCTGACAACCTTTGTAGCCAAATAACAACTCCAAACCTCCTTTCAAAGATAATTATGCCTGTCCATACTATCTGTGTTTCTTCTGCAATTACTCGGAAGTTAACCAGCAGAGCCTTGCGCATAATCAACAGCTATGTGTGGATTTGGTGTCTTTTGGCTACAAACCCATTTTTCATTGTCAGTGTGCCACAAAAAATCTGTATATCAGTAGACAGTAACACCTGTTTCAAATAGGGCTTATTTTCTAATCTGTTTCTCACTTGCAGTGAGATGTGTAAGTCTGCTGCCCTGTACTGACACACTTCTACATTAGTCCATCTCCGAGAACTTCTGGTACCGTACTCATGTCCCCATGTCCTCATTTCCTCGTGTCCGCGTGTCCTCGTGTCCAGGTTCAAGTGCAACCAGAGGACCTCCTGCCCAAGTTACCCAAGCCCAAAGACCTCCAACCGTTTCCAACCACCCAGGCCGTGGTCTACCTGGGCCATCGGAGCTACGTGCGGACAATCAGTGTCGACCCCACGGGCCAGTGGCTAGTGTCAGGTGAGGAGTGGTGTCAGTAGTCACAAAAAGATGTCGGTTGGGAAGTGGCCATTTTCAGCGAGCACCGGGGACAAAATATTAGAAAGAGCATCTCTCTTAAATAATTGTGCATTTGTTGGCCCGCCCGGTTACATTTCATTACATTACGTTGCACCCTGTTCATGTACGATTGTCAGAAGGTTGGAAGTTTATGAACAGAGATAAACAGGAAGCCCCTTTAAGTACTAAGAAAGTGAAGTGGTCAGTGAGCCCAACTATCTGATGGTCATCATGGCCAGTTGGCCAGTTCCTTGGAATGTGTGAGGGCTGCGTGTAAGGCAACCACACATTGAGCTTTTTCGAGGAGCGATATTTCTTTGATATGGGGGGTGAAACTATAAGAAATTGAGATCAGGCATTGGTTTACATCATTTAGTTGTATTTTGATTGGTCAAAAGATTGGGTCATGAATAAAGAACAGGGTGATGTAATGTATTGTTATTGTAGTATTCAGTTTTTCTATTGGTTGTTGTCCTTGGCACTGTTTTGGCCCGATTGGCAGGATCCGACGATGAGACGGTTCGTTTCTGGGAGGTGTCGTCGGGCCGCTGCATGAAGAAACTGGACATGGAGGGGACTGTTAGGTGCGTGGCCTGGTGCCCCAACCCGGCCGTGTGCCTGGTGGCCGTCTCCGTGGAGCAGAGAGTCCACCTGGTCAACCCCGGGCTCGGGGACAAGCTGGTCGTGTCGGACACGGATCGGCTGCTGGAGGCCTACGAAGAACCGGAAGAAGCGAAGACGTCGCCGCTGGTGGAATGGTCGGAGGCTCCCGAAGAGGCCAAAGAGAAGGGTTTCCGACTGTGCCTCAAGCATTTCAAAGTAGGAGACAATGATAAATGGCATCCAGTCAATCTGTGCATAATCACTGGAGGGCGCTGTAGTTAGTAGCCATCAAAGTTGCACGGGGGCGCTTGCGCGGTCCACAAAAAGCAGCTTGACAGAATTTTTCTGCTCTTGTACTGAACTGCACTGTCACTCCCATCTAAGCATCATCATTATTCAACCATTGGCCGAGTCTGCGTTAACTCTGTTGTGGCTTGAAATTAGGCAAAGTCTATGGTAGTGGCTACGGCCAAGCCCCAGAGAGTTGTGTGTAATGTCATGCCGCAGCCAAGTAATTTGGATTCACCGTAAAGACTCTGTAATGTCGTTATTATAATGAGCTCAAATTTGGCTTTTTATACCAAATACAATGACTTCTGTACTCCTCTCAACTCTGGTATGCAAGCAAGGGCAAGGCGTGTAAATGGCCATCTCATCCTTGTACATCCATCACAAGTCCATCGCACTCCGTGCAGTCATGAGTCCTGCTACAAGCTAATCAAATGAACTCCGGCGAAGCATCACTTTGTCATTATTCACCCTGTTGCTTGTGAGCTGTCTCAAAAAAGGGTAGTCGGTCATTAAAACGATGTCAACATTTGACGTTATGAACTAAACTTTCTATTCACAAATTCCTTGTAAGTGTTTACGATTGCATGTCCTTCACCAGATTTTACCGTTTCTGCCTCAAAATTTATTTTCAGCCGACAAAGCAGATTGCCTGGCACGGCAAGGGGGATTACTTCGGCACGGTGGTCCCCGACGGCGGCCACTCCTCGGTCCTGATCCATCAACTCTCCAAGAGACGATCGCAGACGCCCTTCAAGAAGAGCAAGGGCCTGGTCCAGACCATCTCCTTCCATCCGTCCAGACCCTACTTCTTTGTCGCGGTGAGTGAAGTCGTCTCTCAGCTTGTGGAAAGAGCTGCAATGGCAGATGGAAATGTGTTCATCATCACGCAGTAGTTCAGGAAGTCGTGCCGTTGTGTAGTCGCGGGGAAGGGGATTCGGAGAAGAAGGTTGTAGGGTTGAATAGAAGAACGGTATTGGGGCTCTGAATACGTACAGCCATAATCCCGATTTCCTCTTTTGACTATTCTGTCTGTTCCAGACTCAGCGCTTTGTGCGCGTTTACAATCTCCTCAAGCAAGAGCTCACCAAGAAGTTGCTGACGACTGCCAAGTGGATCTCCAGCATCGCCATCCACCCTGGAGGTGAGTCCAGTATTACGTGTTATGTTGCCCGCCCGCCTGCCTTTTTGGTCTGTCCGTTTGTGAATGAAGAAGGGAAGGCATTGTGCGGGCGACCTCAGCAGAGTGAAGCGAGACGACTTTGGACGACGGCGCAGACCAGTCTAGACTGGCAGGTCACGTCTTGGGTGCGGACGGCGAACAATTTTCACATCCCGTTTTCTCTGTCTAGCAAGAATAAAATCTTTGCCAAAAAAAGTCTTTCAAGGGAATTTTTGTAAGAAAATTGCACGCCCATTGGTAGAGCCCCACTCTTCACAAGTAGCGTGTTTATTTTTCTGAATCCTGCACGCTGGATGGTTTTGTTTTGTAATTAATTCGTTTGCAACTTCTTGAGAATCTTTCTCTTGGGTGCAGTGAGTCTGGAGTCTTACCTCTACGTTTTGTGGAACTTTAGCCCGGTTTTCATGGCACTGAAGCACATCGACAGCCTGAATGTATTTATTTGTCACTGCTGGTTAGTGCATGAAATTGAATGCAAAGTGAATCTGACATCAAGACAGATTTGCCTTGAAGTCCACTAGAATTGAAAAACACTCAGCTTTTGTGAATTCCTGCTTGCATTTACCAAGTACGCCCGAGCCGAGAGGCTTCTAAATCAGTTATAGTCCAAGTTGTGGACCATGGAACCAGTTGTCGGGCATTGGTCGATTTTGCCTGGCACCCAGGGTATATATTTTGTGAATTGGTTACCAGTCAGCACGGACTGTTGGTTCACGGACGGTCACTTAATTGAGCTTGGCCTGTTCATTCCACAGGGGACAATGTATTGGTGGGCAGCTACGACTGCCGGCTGAGCTGGTTTGACATGGACCTGTCCGTCAAGCCCTACAAGACGCTGCGTCACCACCGGCAGGCCATACGGCACGTGTGCTACCACAGACGCTACCCGCTCTTTGCCTCGTCTGGGGATGACGGGCTGGTCATCGTTTGTCACGGTCAGGTGTACAAGTGAGTCAGCTGTTCAGATTACGTCACAAAATGACGCATTTTTACTCACACTGCATGTGTCTGTTTGTATATCCCGGTTCTGGAACCTGAGCAAAATAGTGGACTTCTAAACTTTTGCTGCTCAGAGATGCTTCTTAAAGGGATGGGACTGTTGTCATCCGAAGTGATAACTTGTGACAGTACGTGACAGTGTTGAACAAAAGTTACTCGGGATGTTTTGCGGTTCGCATACGTTGGTTGTTTGAGTGGACAAATTTTAAGGAGGAAAGGTTCGGGCTGTTGCCTCCACTAAATATGTTGCTGGTGTATGATCTTGTGTATAAAGGCTTTGCGTGGTAGCCATCTTGCTGGCCAGTCCTGCTGTTTGACGGGGAGCCCTCCTTAGTGCGTACCCTGTGGAACAGAAGCTGTCCTGTAAGATGGCTGCCATGCAAAGCCTCTGTTGTCTATTACCAACCATTTTTAGTTTATCGATCAGCTTTGAAGGAGGCTGAAAAACTTGTCGAGAGATATTTGGACTGTATTAGACTGTTTTCGCTTCGTGAATGAATAATCCTAAAAGCCGACGATCTTTGTCTCTGGCCGCAGTGACCTTCTCCAGAATGCCCAGATCGTCCCCGTCAAGATACTTCGAGGCCACGAGGTCACCAACAGTCTTGGCGTGCTGGCATGCGAGTTCCACCCCTCGCAACCGTGGCTGTTCTCCAGCGGTGCCGACGGCACAGTGCGACTGTTCACATGAGGCTTTAGAAGACGAACCACGGTCTTCGACTGGCACCGTGGATGTGAACAAAAGAGGGCGCTGTTTTGCATAGTTGTGCACAGTTTTTTTTTGCTGGCTGTAACACTGATCATCAATATTCATTGTTGGACTCTTTATTTGGGGAACATTGAAATTACTGCTTATTTTTTTCCAAAGAGAACCATCTTTCTCACATTTTGAAACCTTTTTGGAAAAATTATGTTGAATTGAATAATATCTTTGTTAACTCACGGTGCCACGGTGCAGGCAGACTAGACCTTAAAGACGGTATGTCATCACGGTCACGTGAGCAGGTCGTAGCCAATGAGAATGTCTGTGTGGCAAATGATCGGGAACATTTTCAACTTTTATCTCATCATTCATATTGATCGTGGCCCTGTTGAGTGGGATTTTGACTGATTCACTCATTTTTTTAATTTGTAATAAAAATCCACATGTAAGGGTATGTGGGGGAAATTAGGGAGGGGCGGGGACGGGGAAGGGTTGATGGGGGGTGTTGAAGATGGGATGTTAGGATGTCTGATGTATATTGAGAATATACATAGCACTGAATAAATTCTGTAATATACATGTTTTCACTTGGTGTTTCCATAATTTTTGTCTTTGAAGTTTTGGTGGGTAGATTTATCGATTATGTTGTTCATATTAGAATGTAAATTCCAGTGGCTACATTCCGAACGTCTGATGCACTTTGTAGTGAAATACATCAGGAAAAAAATAAGTGATAGAAATCTCTTGGAACATAAACAGATGTATGATTTCTGTCTCCAATTTTTTGGCAGGTCAATCTTCAAATTTTTTCAATGAGCCTTGTTTGAACGCCTGAGTATTGAATTTTGTTTAATTAAGAGAATAAGAATCTTTGGCTGCTGCCCCGAGGAAATGAAGAGAAGGACTGTCGAGGAATTTGTGGTGAAAATTTTTTTGTAACTGAAAATATCAGTGCGTCACCGGGGAAGCATTTTTTGACCCCGGGCTCCTTCAACTCCCCCTTTGAAAATTTCGTTCGTAGCCCCGCCTACCATTTTTTACCCATAAATCGCACGTGGCCTCAAAACTTAATCACCGAATTTTAGTCTGGAGTCAAGACCACCAGAAATTCTTCCTTCATATAACGTGCTAGGCGTCTGGGTACACTGATAGTATTTACATTTTGTGGTGTACGTGCGGAGCATGGACGTTGAAGTTAAGTGAGTTAGGCCTAGTTGGTTTGATGTCAAGGTTACAAAATGGCATTATTTCGGAATTTCAGTAAATTCAGAGCTTTTGCAAATGATGTGCAGACCTTAACAGAGGGTTTCTGCTTCAACACACGGGCAAAAGGTATGAACTTCGTATCAAAACGACAACCATGACTTAATGAATGTGACCTACGAAAATTCAACATGGCTGAATCACTGCAGTGATGATGTAATAAGTGAACTTAGGCCTAACGTTTTTGTAGTCTTATTATTGCCTGCAATTATTCGAGTACAGTTGGCCTCAGGATTAATGGATAAATTTTGATTAGAAGTAGGCACTCTGAACAGTACAGGAAACTTGTGTGAAAATACAGACATGACGGGCTATGTCACTTTTAATGTTATTCACTTACAATGTCATATCTGTCAGACTTTGTATTCAGCATGTTAGCATGGTTAGTAATTGCTACATTCAGCAGAGTTCAGAGTCAGTGATGTTAAGATAGTAATCGCATGTCGAGTGCATTCAGGTAATTTGTACATTCGAGGCTTATTCTCTGGGTAATGAATTGGTCAATTCTCCGTGAATTTTTCTAATTTTGCTTTCATTCTTTGAAACAATCCTTCACAACCATGAGTTAGAAAGAAAACTGAGAAAAGGTGATGGGCCGGCAGAATTCCAAATTGGTAACAAGTTGTGCTTATGATTGACGGATCCTGCAAAATTACACCCAATATATATTTTTTGAAGTTGCCGTATTGGTCAGAATCCTATCCCACAAATATGTTTGGGGTAATTAGTTGATTTGCCTGATTATCTGATCACGCTGCATCATTGGGCGATCCTGCAGTAAATCTCTAACTATTGGAAATTACAAAGAAGCAGCGGTTGTCAGATGGTGCAATTATCAACAAATTCTGCATTGAGATCGACTGATCATGCAGGGATTGAGCAATCTCGCAGATCGAAATGTGCCCAACAAAAATAAAGTCACAACAACAAAAGCGTGGCACTAAGACTGACATAACTAAGATTTCACTGGGTAAAAATTTTGATGTAAAAAAGTAAAAAGTCTAGTTCTACGGGAAAGAGTTTCATACACGGACATCATTTGACTCACTGTGCACAAATGAGACTGGCCTGAAACATTCCAAGTGTCTTTTTTCCAAGTAAAGGTTACAACATTTTCCCTTCGAAATTTGGCTTTGTAAGACATATCTCTTTCTGATGGCTAATGAACCACGACAAGGGAAAGTGGAACTCTCTGTGCACGTGCCCTGGTGTGCCAATTAAAAAATGGGGAGGGGGTTCATTGTCAAATGCCCACTGCCTTCATTTTGTTTACATCTTTCCTTTTTGGTCGCTGCTGTTTACCAGCAGTTACAGTGGTCGGGACACTGGACAACAGCTGGAGATCTCTACAGCTGCATACACCTGTTACATCTTTCACCACATACCAATATAGGGTATCAGACTGGCACCTCTTGGCTCATGGATACAAGCCACATCCGATAGTAACAGATGATGTGTTGATCTCATCAAGCAGCAGTTGGGGGCGGAGCTTAGTCAGTGGACGTGGCTTCCAGACCAAGTCTCACCCCGACCACAGCACCCTGACTCAAAGTTCCAAGACGGAGAATGGCGCCGAGTCAAAAACAGAGAAAGATGCCATGCAGGGAAAACAAGAGGATTTGGCGCCCGACGCCGGGCGTAAGGACGCGGATAGCAGCGTCGAGGCAAGACAGGACAGCGAAGAACAAGACGAGGATGACGATGATGAGCCAATTGTCGCCAAGTACGACGAGACGGGTAAGCCACTGAGTAACTGGACCAGGATGAAGATGATGATGAAGGCGTATGGTTACGTCATCATTCCGGTCCACTGGGTCATCGCCCCGTTCTGGTTCGGCGCATTCTACTACACCATTAAAATGTGAGTGCCTCTTCCTCAACCTTTTTTGTTGCAGTCTGAAGCACCCTGTACCGGTTTGCTGATGGATTCTCTTTGCCACAAAAATGGTTAATTCCCCCGTGGAACAAACGCTTGAGGCGCTCTACGCCTGTATGTAGTTGCGCAGTGTGTATGCACCGTTGAGGTCTGCTTTTTCAAAGAAGGGTTTTTTTTCAAAGTCTGGGCTCTGTCTTTCGTCTGCGGAGCTCTGCAGTCAGTAATAAGTGTTTACCCTCAGAACGAGTTGTCTGAAATGTTAAAAATTTGATATTTCTGTCTTGGAAAGTGGAGCTGTATTTAGGTTGACACTTGATGGTTGCATTTATAAAAATGAAGCCCGAAGACAAAAAAGCAGATGAAGACGAGATTTGAAAACCCTAAAGACTTACATAACAGTTGGTGGAGCAACACTTTTCAAAAGTTTTGTTCTAAAGAGTAAAGTTTTCAAGTTCAAGGAACGTGTTTTCAGCCCTGATTTTTCATCAAATTGATTTTCCTTTGGATATGAGGTCTAATTGTTCGGTCAATTTTTTTCTCAGTCAAGTTGCCGTTTTTTAGAAACCAATCAAGTGACATCCTCTTTTAAATATTCAAGTGAAAAATAAAAACCAGTTGATATAAGTGGGACTAAAGTTGAAGTTATGACTCAATTTGCTAATTCTACCAAAGCTACACCGCGAGTCAGTGATGCTCTTCAGGTCACATGTGCATGTATATATAAATAAAGTTGGTTGAGTGACATTCACAGTTGGCTATTTCCAGTTATTTTTTGTCCCTGGTTACTCCAAGTGAGCTAAACCTCACTTTTATAGATGGCAGTGTTTGCTGTGCCTGCATGAGATAGGTTTCCCGATCCCGAGACATTATTTCCATTTTCAGTGCCTGGATTTTTTTTCAATCGATCTCCAGGGGTGTGGATATTGCGCCCTTCCTCCTCAAGATTGGCATCAGCGAGCACCACGTCGCCACGCTCAAGAACTCGGGGGCCAGCAACGCCCTGATGGCCTACGCCCTGTACAAGATCTTCACCCCGCTGCGCTACACGGTGACGGTAGGGGCCACCGAGATGACGGTCCGGTACCTGAGACGGAAGGGTTACATGAAGCACCCGCCGCGCAAGGAGAAGACATATCGGCAGTCACTGAAGGAGACTGTGCAGGAGGTCAAAGACAGAATCGACAACAGAAAATGAAGCAACGAGAGAGAAAGAGAGAGAGAGATAGATAGAAAAAAATGAATCAGGAAGAGTCTTATTGATGGAACTGTACGGAGAAACATCTCACGTCTGTCAGCGTTGCCACCAGGGTCAAAGGTCATTAAGCCGATGTGCCGAAAATATGGCGTCAGGTCTCATCACTTGCTGGTAACTGTTTGTGTGCTTGTGGAAATTTATGTGCTGGAGGAAATGTCTCCTAAAATCACTAGTGCTTTTTAACTTGTGATTTTTTTTTTCTGGTGAGCCATAGCGTAAAATGTACCTTCACAAAATAAGAAATTGAAGAATTTTGATAAAAATGCTGTGTGTGATTGTTAAAATTCAAACTTGTCAAGAGTTTTTCCAGACTATCCCAGATACTTCAAAATCCAGAGAGAGATTTGGACAATTTTGCAGAAAATAAGCAATGAGATGTCACCTACTGTGACTTTACATGACACTTACGTACCCCTGTAATGTCATTAACTTCCTGCATCTGTGAAGGATCTCAGGAATATCTTTAAGATTGTTGGAGAGATTGGTAGCTCTTTGCCGATCTGTCCGTGTTAGAAGACCGCTTGTAGCACATTTGAGCAAGGAGCACAGTCGGAACCTTTGCCTTGCTACCATTCCCCTACATTTGCAACATCTGATGATGAAAGTACAGGGGTAGGGAACCAGACTATCTTCCAGTGTCAAAGTGTACAGAGTACCAAAGTGACTGTGTCGCGCACACCATCATGTGTGTGAGAGGCGTTAGGCAGAGAACCGGCGCGTGAACCGTCATGCACGCATAGTCCATTCGTTTGCACCGCACCGCATGGTTCAAAATGACATCACACTTTAGTATAGTGTTGTATTGAACTCACTGGGTTCATTTTATTTCATTTTGTATCTCTCTTAAGCCCCAAGGATTTTCCGCTTATATTGATGGATCATTTTGTATTCATTGTACAAATGTGGTAGCTTTCATGTACTTCCATGGGCTCAAAGAGAACATTTAGCTTATTGCTGCAATCATCAATCAATTGTTACTACATGTAGTAAAAATGTCTATTCAAGCCACCGATAAAATTGTTTTGGCTGAATTATAGAATTTGATGTTCCATTGCATGGATGTATACTGGTTTTTATTGTTTATTTTGATAATCAGTGACATCAAATGAGTAATTGGCCTGTCTCCATTCAGTTTCTGTTTTGAAAATCAACGAGAGGTCTCAGTTTGCTTTGCTGTCCACTCCAAGCGAAACAAAAGAGGGCGCGTTTCATTAGCACTCATCGCATAGGCGCTGAGTACGCATAACTAATTTACTCCGGCATGTATGGTCTTCGCGTACATGCAGAACTCATGCAAGAACCCACTTGTAACCACCTGTCTTTCTCTTTGCCCATAGGGGGTGCTCTTCCGCTCGGGGCCGATAGGGGAGGTTTGGTTAAGTTTGGCAACCTTTAAAGAAATGAATGTGGCATCTGCTGCAAACAGTGGTTAAAGATCTGTTTTTACTGTAACATATTGAATTGTTTTTAAGTAGATTCTAAAATCGAAACAAATGGTGGATGAACTTGGATGCTTGATGGTTTGGTAGTCTTGTTAAATGCGTGGCTGTAGGTAATACTTCATACTTGAAGATCACAGTGAAGTGTGAAGTGTCTGGTACAAACTACATGTATTTCAGAGTTGTTGCAAATGGAGATAAAGTACATGTGGCAATAATGAAGTTATGCTTGGTTTGTCTAATGATTTCCAGTTATCAATAGCCTCAATAAATAAAAATATGCAGCTGTTTTTCCCATTAGAAAGTAGCATGTCGATTACACCACCGGAACTTAAAAGGTTGCTTCTTACTATCTCAAAGTCATTCCTGGAAATGCTTCTGTGAAATGTAAATTCTGTGAGGTACGAATTTAAGGCAGGTGCAGCTACCCCTTGTTATCGACTGATCTCTCCTTGAAAGAAATAAAAGAATAAATGAAATATTGGGGAAATGTTAGAAAGGGAAAAGTTCATTTTTTTTCCAGTTACAATATTTCTTTGGGAAAGATGAGTCTGAAATAGTTCTCCCCCTTAAATTATGGGTGGGGCCTGGGCGGCTTAAGCCTTTGCCTAGTTTCTTTGCTATTTAGCTGACTAACTCAATTTTCAGAATTTCAGATTGATTTCTTTAGAATGGTTCTTTCCCGGTTGGGCGGGCCGGATGCCAGCATTTTACATCACGAAAAACATCTGCTGAGCGCATCCCTTTGTTGCATCCAGAACTTTAGTCCTGAAATCTGGTTTCCTGTTTTCATTACCCGCTTATGCGCTGTATCAAGTACGCAGGTCGGGTACCAGTTTAAGGGTTTTACTTCACTGAAAAGTTTGGCGTGACCAAGGTTGGCGGAAGTTTGCCACGTCGTGATTTGCTTCTGCTAGCTGCCTTATTTTTGAAAGAGGTAAGGTTTGGACATAAACAGCAAATTGTAAGTGGCCTTTTGAACTGACATGTTCAATATTACGAACATTACGGTCAGAAACTAGCAAAATCCACATAACGTTAGGCCAGTCATGTCAGTGTGAGGCCCCGCTCCCACGAACCCAGAGAAAACGAGCCTTTTTCGCCGCAGGCTTTACATGGCGTGTAACATGGCACGAAAAGAGATTTATTCTGGTTGTGTATCCATAGAAATGCTGCTCCATTTCCCCCAAGAGTTCTGTGTAAGTTAGCTTACATACCTTCGTACGGAGTACCAAGAAAAAAAAAACGGGCCAAAGCCATAGGCCTTCCGTTTTCAAAAAAAGGTGTAACTATTTCCTTATCAGCGAATGCGGTCATGCGGTCCACTTTGCGAAGACGAGCTGCAACCAAAAGGTTGGCTACTGCTGCAGTAAACACATAAGATATGGCAAATGGCTTCAGCCGCTTTCCGTGCATGTGTGTGTATTTCTTAGCTGCGCTGGTTGAAATGGCAGTTGTCTGCGGCACACTGGGGGTCACACTGGGGGTCACACTGGCCAATCACAGGGCTCCTCATTCTTTATGCCCAAATGGCAGGAACGACCAGTGATGACAAGCAAGAGCCGTTAGGTGCCAGTGCACATGAGCGTGCTGTCGCACAGTGAACACTTTCTGTTGGGGCCTCACGTGGATGCCGACAGGCAGTGAGCTTTGTCCGAATCTATTTGCGGCCTCAACAGAAAGTGACAAAAACCCCCCAAAACAAGCGACGGAGGACGCGTGACGGGTGATGCATGATGGGCGACGCACGATGGGTGACAGACAACAGGTGACAAATGACAACAGATATGGAATTCTATACATCATAATTTTCATTTTTGCATTTATGATTGGAAGCATAGCACCAACAACTCCCCAACGAGTCATGCACATCATTGAAATTATTTAAGTGCATTGACTATTGTTACAAATGTTTCGACAGTTTTTTGTCCACTTTTTGTACCAGTCAGGTGTGTTGGAAACATGAAGCAGTCCATAACAAATAGATTTCGGACTTTATTTCCCTGAAAAAGATTCCTCCAGGAGTATGAATCTACCAAAAAGGAAAAGAGAAACATGCGTTGAAGAAATGAAAGAGGAAAAAACAGTGGAAAAAAGTGCATTTCGAGTGGACTCGATCCCAGCATGCCAAGAATGCAGAGCTTTTGCAACGCAATGGCAGTGAACGGAAATTGAAACCTTTTATAGATTTGCAATGATAATTTGGAAGTTGCATTACGGTTACTGTACCTGTACAGTAGCCACTTGGTGTTTTCAAATTTCAATATTGTCGAACAAAACATTTGGGAAGCCATTTTGTTCATCATTCCTGGAGACATTGAGCTTGTATTTTTAAATGTTACGGTGAAAAAGTAATGTTGGCCATGCTGGTACATTGTAGTTTCTTACGTTAATAAAAGCTTTGGTTAGGCAGGATGTTCACCTATATACCTTGAGCTTTAGATAACATAACTCCATTGTAAGTGTGGGCAAGAGTGCCATATACAAACATCACTGTTCTTTACCTATTAAAAGTGGTGTATCAGCCATCAGAAAGTGATAAAATGTCCTAAAATGTCAAATTTACTGGGGAAAATATGGAAGTGTTTACTTAGAAAACAGTCAGAATTTTTGAGACCAGTCTCGTAGGGTTTGTGCTCATGCTGTCGTGTGATGTCCGCGTATGGACTTGATGGAACTCTTTCCTACATGTAACAGTGTCAACATTTTTAAGAATTCTTTATTTATAAAAAACGTCATTCGGCCAAAGGATCATGTCCTGTTTCCAGGTGAAACAATTTTGCCAAACGTCACTCTTCCCTGATGAGAATTCCACGTACAGGAACTACTGACTCCACTTGACACCCTGCGCACAAACTCTCTAAAACTGTTGTGAAAACTTCCAAGTGCTCTCTAAGTGAATACCTCAATATCTTCACTGCTAAATTTGACTCATGTTGTTGCTTTCAGTCTGGCTAATCAATCATTGCAGGGAAAAATTAGGGGCACTGTAGGCCTACATGTGTCTGGAATTCTCTCTAACAAGGATCCCCCAAATCTCAATTTTTTTAGCTGAATGGAAAAAAAAATGAAATTTTGGCCCATTTTTATTTAGTTCAAATTAATGGTTTTCTGCTGCAGAGCTTGTGTCAATGGATTAGAAATATCTATTTATTGGTCAGCCTAACCTCCCCAAAAACTGAATTCCAGGGTCTAAAATTGGACTTGGATGGACAAGAAATGGGATACAATACCTTTAGAAAGATGAACAAAGAGATTGACCTTAACAGTGGAACAGCAGTACTTTAAAATAGTTTCCAAAACTGAGCTGAATGTGGTGTGGAATAAATTTTGGGAAACTGTTTGAAACTGCTTTGTTACCCTAAAAGTTGAAGGGACCCACTGTCACAAAGTGGAGTTAATTTCAAGCCGTTTGCTGCCTTATTTTTGTTTTCACTTGCCAGTGTATTTTTGTTTGTAAAGTATGCCCTCTTCTCTCAGGCTCTGTTAGAAACGAGTCTTCCTCCAGGTGAGTGGCAAGATGAGAGACTCGTAGACATGTAAATAACAAGTATGCAAATTAAGTGTTGGTTGAGTGACTTTTTCAATCTTCACAGATGCCCTGTATATACCCTGGGTACCGCTTTAATAGCCTTCAGGGTGTGTGGTTACCAATATTCCTGTGTGGAAAAGTGTGTGGTCTTTTGTGCGCTTATACATGGGCCTTGTGGGGTACCGGAACAATGGGAAGTAGCCCATAAGGCCAGTTTTTATGGGGTACCACACAAGTATTGCTGTGTTAGGGTGGGTGCACCCATGTGTTTTTATTCCTCCGTGGTGCACCAGGGTGTGGCCCTTGGTCGGAAGCAGGTTTGTACCAGAAACTTTAACTTTTATTTCATTTATTATACGAAGATTACATATCAGTAACAGTATTGTTGCAGTAGAAGAATCTCTGTGTTTTTTGGTTGAAAATTTGCATTCCCACAACAAAACTTGAAGTCAGTTAAAAGGATTGAGGAGGACTGTCTGTAACCAACTTTAGTTGGCTGTAACCAACTTTAGCATTAAAAATAGCTGATAAGAGTTGAATTTATGAGGAGCAGAATAGTTTGAATGCAATGTCATCCTCCAGAAAATGCATTTAGTGTTAATCTTTTAAGAGCATGGAGGGCATTTAAATTTGGACGCACTGGGTGACACTCTACGGTTTACTCTCACCTTGGAATTATGTATTTGTTTTGAAGGGCTTACCCCTTTGAGAACAACTGGTGCTCAGAGTCTCATTAAACCCAGTGTGGTGAGTGCTGAGCAAAAGAGATTCCCGTGTGGAATAAGTCAGGATCAAGTGTGGAGTGGGATCAGGTGACCAATACCCGTGTGAGCGGTCAATACCTACCTGAGATGATTGTGTCAGTGACTGACCTACCTGTGACCGCTACCTTTGGTGATTGGGTCAAGAACTGTCCTGCCTTGTAGCCTACAGGCCGGGACAGAGATTGCTGAAACTCTGGTGCCAAAAACAGGCAAACTGTTGAAAAACACTTACTTTGTGGAAACTTGTACACTTCAGCGACATTTTCTCTGGCTGGCATCAGTACTTAAAAAAGCAGTCACTCCAGCTCTAAATTAAACATTTCTGGGGGGTAATCACTTTTTCAAGTCTGTTTTTTTTGTTTGGTATAATTAAAGAATGCATAAGTAATAATTCAGTTCATGCAATTTGGAGATCTTGAGTTAATATTTTGTCTCTTTACTTCATTTATATTCACTGCTGTCCTCCATGGGAAAAACAGACCCTTGGTGTGACCCCCATCAGGTTGGGAAAGACCGTGTACTGGAATTTTTGACGAAATGACCAAATCCTGTCAGGAATTGGGATACACATGACAGAAACCAGTGCCTTATCCTTGTTTTCATTTTTTAGTGTATTCTTGTTTATTTTGTTGCTTTCTCAGGATAGCACGTACTGATGACCGAAAGCAGATGCCATTGGCTTGAGGAAAACAACGCTGATCTGTGTTGCCCGTGTCCCCTTACAAAATATTATACGAAGATGATGGTTGCCAGGTGACCTCTGACCTCAAGGGTCCACCAGGCCATGTGCAGTATGGCCTTGGACAGAATTTACAGTTGGAGAGGTGCGGCCTATCTGGCCACGCCCATGTCTTGGGGCGGAGCTTTTCAGTTGTGGTTTGGTCTTGCAGTAGTATCGATCCTCAGAGTGACTAGCTGCGAGTCGCAATTCACCACCCACCCAATGCTGTTTTACAGCAGGGATCAGATCCCAAGCTTGCGACGCCAAGCCAGGACCACCCACAGTAACATTGCCGGCGTGCTTGAGGAGGCGGCGCGGACCATGCTCAGCAACCAGCGCCATTACCTTCCCTCCTCTGACTATGAAACCTTCGGCGGCCGCTGGAACGAAGTCTACGGCAACAACCTGGCAGCCCTGGCCATGTACTGTGTGGTGTACCCCGAGGATCACGACGCCAGAGATTTCGCATTCAAATACATGGATATCATGGCCTCGTTACCCAAGTGGCAGGTCATCAGTGCACCCAAGGACGAGGTTCCAGTAGCCCATTCCTTGACGGGGTTTGTCACAGCTTTTGATTTCCTGTATCCAGTCCTAGGTAAAGAGAGACGTGCCTTATACTTGGGGAGAATCATCGAGGTTACCGAAGAAATGTACAAGTATTCCAGAACCCGAAACTGGGGCAGTCAGTACATACAGAATCACGTAGCCACTAATTACCTGTCATTGCTGCACGGAAGTCTGGTTGCCTCGATACACCAAGTGCCGAACGCGGACAAGTGGGTCCAGCATGTGCAGGAGAACTTTGGGAAGACCATGAGGCTTCTCAATCATGTCATTGATGGGTCGCTGGATGAAGGCGTGGCGTACGGCAGCTACACGTCCCGCTCCGTCACCCAGTACGCTTACCTGGCGCTGCGCCACTTAGGGGTGGACTACACGCAGGATTTGTGGATGAAGGAGCATTTCTGGTTCTATTACAACACCATCATGCCCAACTTTGAGCGCACCGTGGGCATCGCCGACAGCAACAGCAACTGGTTCTACGGCCCCGAGAGCCAGCTAGTCTTCCTGGACACCTTTGTCATGCGGAACGGGTACGGGAACTGGCTGGCCCAGGAGATACGCAAGCACCGCGTGATGGAGAGGAAGTCACGGCTGGCGCCGTCGGAATCGCAGCGCTGGTGCACCCTCCACACGGAATTCCTGTGGTACGATCCGACAGTCTCCCCTGTGGCCCCTCCCCGCAGCGGGACGCATGACCTCCACATGTTCAGCGACTGGGGTGTAGTCACATATAGCAAGGTGGACCCCAGCTTGACTGACGATACTTTTCTCGCTTTCAAGTCCGGCAAGATGCACGGGAGGGGGATTTTTGACCTGGTCCAGAAAGACATGTACGCCTCGTGGGTCAACAAATGGAAGAGTTTCAACCCGGGTCATGAACACCCCGACCAGAACATGTTTGTGTTTGCCCCGAACGGACAGCCGTTCATCACCGACGGCCTGTACGGGCCCAAGTACTCGTTCTTGAACAATGTGATCATGTTCTCTCCTTCACCAACGAGTGGTTGCTTCCAGCCGTGGGAGGGACAGCTGGGAGAGTGCAAGAAGTGGTTGGACTGGCGCAAGGAGGAAGCTGCGGAGTACGGCGGGGAGTTGATCACGGCAAGCACTAGTGACGGTATGGTGCATCTGAGCGGCGAGGCGGCAGACGGCTACAATTCCAAGATGAGACTGAAGTCGGTCTACCGCAGTCTGGTGCTCCTCACTCCCGGCCTCCTGGTGGTCCTGGACCACATTCAGACCCGGTCTAAGTCGCCGCTGACCCATGCTGCGGCATTCTTCAACAACGTGGAGAATACCTTTGAGCAGGAGCGGCTGGGGAGACTGTACGGCGCCAAGGCGACCATCAAGGGGGAGGACTACAAGATGTTCTGGGTCAGTCCCGAGGGCCGCAGCCCCAAAGCCTCCTTCTCCAAACAGTCTCATCCCTCGGAGTTCAGGTCCCGCGAGACCAATTTCGTCAATATCACCTTCAAATTGAGACCCCGTCTGACACGGATGGCCTTTGCGTTCTGCGGCCCTTCTGAAAAAATCGTCGACATGAGCTTCCAAGACGTCAAGGAAAATGGTGTTTCATTTGAGATACAGACCGAGAAAATGAAATATACGATCAACACAGTAACAAGGCACAGTGATCCGAGGACGCGTCAAGAATTCCTGGGCTACCCGGGATATGTGTCCGTGCAAAAAGGAACACATCTTATCAAGTTTGGTGTCAACAGTACACTTGAAGGGACCAGGCACAAGAGACACAGAAACTGGGATCTATTCACCATGATGAGTCTCTCTCTGGGAGTGGTAATGCTCGGGTTGGTGGTGCTGTATTTAATCAACCGTCGCTTCCGAAGGATCGTCCCAAAGAACAGAAACCTCTTCCTTGGTGTGGTACTGCTCTGCTGCTTCACCCTGGTGGCTTTACTCTCTACCACTTGCCAGAGTGAGTCCTGTGACCCAACGCCGGTGGCCCACGAGACCACAGTTTTGACGCCTTCCCCCAAGCTTCCCTCGGTCGTCGTCACATCTCTCCCCGGGTCCGGCTCAGAAATCCTTGGCTGGCTGTTCTACCGCAACCCCGACTTCCTTCACATAAAAATACCATCAGACGCGGTCAAACTGCCGGAGACCACACGCTTAAAAGTCAGCCCTTTCCTAGATGCTTGCGTCTGGACAGAGAAAGACGTGACTAGATTTCCTGCCCTGACCAATAGGATCAAAATGCTGCGCTGGAGCAGGCATAGGGTTTTTGAGGGAGCTAGTTGGCCCATTCGCTCCTTTGAGGATTTAGACCTGAACAAATCTGGTCATCAGCCAATGAGCAATAGCAAACAAAACAGTGTTTCAGAGGACGCAATCAGGAGGAAAATACATGCGAAATCAGCCGATCAGTCCTCAGAAAATGCCGGGGATATCCAGTATAAAGTTTACCAGACCGCCGACTTTCTGGAGCACGCCGTCCGATACCCAAACGCCCAGAGCGTGCTCCACTTCGAGAGCGGGAGCTGGGGCCTGAAGCTGCAGTGGCTGCAGGGCATCCTGGGGGACACCATGCGCAGCGTCCACGTGATCCGTGACCCGCGTGGCTGGGTGGCCAACTACGTCCGTAGCAACCTGAAGCTGTACACCTTCATGGACGTGGCCCGGCACATCCAGGTCCTAGCCCAGCAGCTGCAGGCCCCCTGCCAGTTCGAGGGCCTGGACAGTAACCGCTTCTACGACCTTCTGGGCACCCCGCACAAGTTGCTGGCCACCCTGTGGGCAGCTTACATGGACCAGTTGCTGGACACCGTCGGTAGCTTGAGGGGCCAGTACCGGATTGTGAGGTACGAAGATTTGGTGCGATCACCCAGGAGTATGGCAGACAACATCTACAAATTCATTGGTGAGTCCCACGGCCTGAACCAATCCCACAGACCTAAAACTGAACAACCCTTCAAGAAATGCGGATAATACTTTGTAATAAATGTACTCATAAGAGACAAGAAGGTGAGTGCGGTTTCGTACCGTGTGCACACATTGGCTTAGGTGCAAATTTGGTAGAATGCATTCACCAGTTTTCTGCCCAGATGTGTACAGATCTTTAGAATATCTGTGCTCAGAGCACTTTGGTTAATCACAGATGCCCCTTTAACGTTAACGATGCACTGTTTCCAAGGCCAAGGTTATGCAATTTATGCTTTCAGAGTCTATTAAGCAGAAGAATCCATTTTAATAGTCATTGTTATTCCGTGTCTCGAGCGGTAGACCACACGAAGTTTGGGCTGCTAGCAAACCTTTCCACCTTTGCTGACTATCTCAGCATCGGCCATGAAATTTTGTAGAAAGGTCCTTAAAGAAGTGTGTTGAATATGATAAAACCGTCTCCTGGGAAACTTTGTTCCCCCCCCGTGTTGTCTTCATTTTCCCCCAAGGTCTCCCTCTTCCGCCAGCCATGCAACATCAGATGGTCCAGGCCGCCCACTCCGGCGTCTACCAGAGCCCGCATGAGGGGGTGGTCCTGCCGTCCGCGCTAGATAACTGGGAGACGGAGCTGACGATGAGACAGATCCGAGATATCGAGGCCATCTGCCAGAAGGGGATGAAACGACTTGGATACAGTCCAATGGAAGTAGAAACATGAGCAGGAATGCTGTTGCTACGGTACATGTACGTTACAGGTTTGAGAATGCATCATTTGTTCAAAGTTACTGATAGAACTGTGAAAATACAACTTTGATTTTTAATCATCATTTGTAAAATGATAACAAAGTTCCTGATGTTGAAACTATGCAAGCTTGTCAAAATCATAAATGTTCACTCTTGTATCAGAGCTAGGCCAGTAGATATGGCCAATGTGACGTGACACGTGACCTGTCACAACAAAATGAGAGTCAAGTCACATCCCCCTCTTTCCTATTTTGAGGGTTCAAAGTCATATTGAAGTGGAGGTCAATTTTGGGGTTTTGTAATATTTGGAAAGAGTAATCTGTTGCCTATTTATTTGCAAATATTTCCCAGAATCACATACTTTAAAATGTCATTTTTCTTAGCAATTGTTAAGATTATTCGTGCCTGGTCTGAAATATTGAAACAATGTCAGGAACAAAGACGCAAAGCAGCCAGAATAATGTCACATTGTCACCTTGTACTTCTACCCTAAGTGTTCCATGTACATGCCATTGGGAGAGCTTTCTTTCTGCTGAATTCAAAAATACCAATATCTCAGTTTTTTAAAATTCCTTCTTTCAGCTCATTTGAGTGGTTTCTTGACCCCTGGCATTGTAGTCATTTTTCCTGAAAGTATTTTTCTGGTAGTGTCCTCAGACTCGCCCTAGATTTTGAGCGAATGGAAAACTGCATTTGCCAAAGTGATGCAAGGGTGGATTGCCTCTGAAAAAAACATGAATTTTGCAAGGACTCGAAACTGACTTGATGACTGACCTAAACCCAAAAGTGCCTTGGAATTGCTTGCCACCGCCATTGTGGGGCTTTGTGTCCCCAAGTTATGGCTATGGCTAGATATCATGTGTGTTCCTATGCAAGCCAATGACAAGTTACTACAGCCTCTTTCCACAGACACGCTTGCTATTCCAAAAAAAGCAGGCTACGGTCTACATTGTTATGCAATCATGTACTTGTATCTGTCATTTAACTACTAACTAACTTACTAACGTTTAAGATCTTGCTCAGGACACGGACCATTCACCCAGGGATGTGCAACCACGAGCGGCCCCAGTGCAAACACATGTGCGACCTTGGTTCCATGCGTGTTACGGATTGTTAGTACCCCTGCGGGCGCTCTTGACTTTCTGGAAAAAACTCGCGACCACATGACATGCATTGCAGCATGTACAGTACAGCTGTGGTTATGCCGAGACAACGCGCCGACGCGGTGCTTAGATCTGTTCGTTTTGACAAATAAATCTTCTTCATTCATTGATTTCAAGGAGAAACGAAGTTTTTAAGGAGGCAAAATTCCCCAATTTTGTGGTACACTTTTCTCAGAATGTATAGGATGAAATATCTTGAGCAGCATATTTTTAGAAAGGGTGTACCCTGACTTAATCATATTACAAGAAAACAACGTGGTAGACAGGAATATATGTTTTATTATTAAAGAAAGTGTTACATAATCCAACTTAATTTCTGCTGTGATATTGTGCCGGCCATAACACACACTGAACCAGCTCTGAGCTTAAGTGGCACATCCCTAGGTAAATGGTCCGTGGTCAGGAGAACGAACGCCGATTATGCCCTCGACTTGTGGCTTGGGTAGTAGTGGCATCCATTCTCCTGAGCTATTCTCCCGCATCCAAGCACATATTTATTTCCTTGATATGACTAACAGCGATGCATCTGTACGAATGGACCAAAGTATTCTAATATACTGTGCAGTATTGCAGTCGAGTACGCTCCAGCGCCAAGTTCTTGACCAAATATTGAACAGGTTAGGACGGCGCAAAGCTGGAGAACATGGGCATGTGGCAGAGAGCTCGGTACTCGAAGATGTTGTGCTCTGCTCAATTGCAGAGTCAGCTTTTTTTATCCTCGATTTTTAAAAAAAAAAATAATCTGTATATTTGTATTCATTGGGACTTAACATCCGAGGTTCAGTAACAAATTGTCGTTCAGTCATGAAAGTGTAGTCCTCAGTCCTGTAAATGAAATCTGAGAAGAGGCCATTCCTGCTGGGCTTGTCACACTCACGCAGAGGATTTCACTTGGTCCAAGATGAATTCAGTGCGTTCGTATCCCTAGTGCGTGCTCAGGATTGGCCCCCCCCCACAGTAACGGCTTCTAATTGGTTTACATGGGTGGCCAAAGTTGGCAGAAAATTAATCCTTGGTTAATAATCGGGTTTGCCTCAATTGGCATGTCTGTCCCCTAAGGGCCCTCCCCCCTTAGTGCCAGACAGGGAGATACTTTCATTTGATATTGAGAAGTAGTACTTGTTGTATGTTTTGGTGTTTTTGCACAAGATTTCTTTTTAATACTTTGTGATTTAGACTTCTTTTCGTGCCGGTGGCTTATCATAGTTTTCTAAAGCCACAAGACGGAGTATTTCCTACATTTCTTTTTTATAATCAATCAATCTTGAGTGCTATTTTAAATTGTGTATTGACTCAGTGTGGTGTTGCGTTGTTTTGTTGTAAAACTATGCAGCATTAGATAATTTTGAACAAACTAGAGTGCATTTTTTTTTGGAGAGTCGGATTGCACAGTCATGGAGCATTTTTGAAATGAGTGGATTCAGCTTAGCTTGAACGTGGTTTCAAGCGCTGCTTCAAAATGGCTGGAACCAGCGAAACCAAAGTCTAAGCCGAATCCACTCATTTTGAAAACGCTCTTACAATATATTCTGCCTTATAATGTTGTCCATATTTCCAACGTTGTGGTGCTATTTTACAGGTATTTAGACATTCAGGGTTTGCGTGATCTTGCCATTAATCAAATATACATCTACCGGCAGTTGGCACTGTTAAGAACGTTTACAAGGCTCATGAAAGAAGTCCATCTGCAGATTTGGCCCAGGGACAGTACATGAATTTTAAAAGTATTAAACTGCGCATCGAGTTGGACACCGTTTTGTTTGAAAGCTGGCCGTCAGATTGCTTCGGTCCAGTTGACAGAAAGAAGAAAAAGGTGTCTAGATTTACTTCTTGTAACACAGCGACGTACACTGTACAGTCTTTTTTTGTATGTTGAAATGCAGTTTTTTTTTGAATAGTCAAAGTCTTAAGGAGTCAAAATCTGTTTTATTAGGAGCAGGGTGATAACGGAACACTGTTTGGCGATCTGTAATCAGGAAACTGGTCAAAATTTCTCATGAAAGGGTGCTATCTTCAGGTTTGCTGGATTTAAGTCTTCCACAGAAATGTTTCACTTTAATTGGTGTCATGCTGTCAATGTGAAAGTGGAAATGCATCATGGCAATCCAGGAAATTTCAACTTTGAGAGTTTGCTGGAAATGTGATCTATGGTTTTGAAATTTTTGTTTGGTTCCCTCCCACTAAAATGAGATGAAGAGGAGATGAAAAAGAAAGAAGTGATATCATTTGGAGTAAGTGGTAGTAGCCAGTTGGAATGTCTTAACCATCTTTTCTGTGCATCCTTTTTTTTTATGTCAAAGCCAAAAAAAAAAAAGATGGCATAAAAAGTGCCTTTTAACAGTTATTGCTCTACATTTGTAAGAATTACATCTGAAATATATCTGATAGGTATTTAACAAAAAATGTGGAAATGGCTAAGTTCACAGTTGGTCATCTGTTTTGGGAGTTGGTTTTTCTCCAAATAAAATGTAGTTTTAAAAAAAGGGCTTTTGGATTCATTTTTTGAGGAAGGCAAGTGTGTTGTCACTGCCCTTCAGAGGGTGAAAGAAGATTTGGAGAAAGTTGAAGCAGAGTTACGCGAAAATCAAATTTGGTGAAGTTCATTTCTAAATAAGATCATCTTAAATCATGGGCAGAATGTGTCCTTTGCAAATGGTTGAACAAATTTTCACGAATAACTTGACCAAAAGAGGCCCCAAAAGACAGCATGACACGCTTCTATGTTTTTCAAAATGAAATACAAAAACTGACGAAGAAAAAAAAACCCCAATCACCTCCCCCAAATTTTCTGAACGTGACAGGACATCTTTATTTAGTTTTAAGATTTTCCCAAATCACTTGCATCACACTTCATTGTAAATATTAACCATGTTAGAATTCCCTTTATGAAACCTGTCACAGGAGCAAGAAAATCCCCTGAAACTGATTAAGGAAACAATTTCAAGAAGATTAGTGTGATTTCTACATTTGACATTTCACTGACAACTACAAAAAGTAGAGGAAATTAATCCACGATATAAATATCCTGTGGGGGGAGAAAAAGGGGCAAAGTCGTCAGGAATATTGCACAGGAACAAAAAATTCCCCCATTTTACTAGAGATACTCAATCTGTGTACAAATAAAATGAGATGCAACACAGTACAAGTCGAACACACAATTCTGGTCATTAACCCTAACACTCCTCAGTCCTCCAACAGGTGAAGGATTGGGGAGGGTTAGGGTTAATG